GAGCTTGAAAGTTGAAGTGTGGCTTCAATTGTTAGAAAATTAAGATTCTTTTTAATATATTGTTTATAATGCTTGTAATTATAATGTTTAATCCTTTATATTTAATTGGTTGCAAATTTGGATTATTTTATTCTATTACGATATTCAAAGTTCAAAATATCAAGATGGAGATTGATCACTTGGATGGAATTAACCGAGCTGTAAGTTTTAGTTTATTAAATTTGATTTTTTTTTTATCATCTAATGAATTTGGTTAATATTTTTTAATTGTTTTTGAATTAATTATGTAAATTTTGATTCTTTTGGTACAGGACATGAGTAATGTGGCTAATATTGATGTAACAATAGCAAATAATGCTATTGAGTTGCAGAACAATAATGGTGAGGGTGGGAATTTTGGAAAGAAAAGAAAGGGTGTACAAAAAAGATCAAAGGTATGGCTACACTTCACTGCATTTGATGATCTAGTTACTAGTTAGCAGAAAGCAAGATGTAATTATTGTGGAAAGGTGTTGTGTGCTGAACCTAGGAGAAATGGTACTTCTACCATGAATAGTCATATTGAATGTTGCTTGGAAAATCCTAGTAATTTGAAAAATAATACACTGTTGAAGTATGTTAGTAAAGTAGATGGAAGTAAGACAGTGATTGATTTAGGAACTTGGAAGTTTGATGAAGGTGCAGTGAAGAGAGCATTAGCTGAAATGTTAATCATTGATGAGGACTCCTTTAGCTTAGTTGAAAAATTAGGCTTTAGGAGGTTTTGTGAAGTAGCATTGCCACCAACTTTTAAAATTCCATCTAGAAGAACCATCACTAGACAATGTTATGACATCTATGTAGAACATAGAACTGCCTTGAAATATTATTTCAAAGAATCAAATTTTAGAGTTTCATTAACCACCAACACTTGGACTAGCTTACAAAGAATCACTTATATGAGCTTGACTACTCATTTCATTAATGCTAAGTGGAAGTTACATAAGAAAATACTGTGTTTCTATCCTGTTGATAGCCATAAAGGAGATGAGTTGGGAGATCTTCTTGTTAGATGTTTGAAGGATTGGGGGTTAGAGAAAATTGATGCATTAACTGCTGATAATGCATCAGCAAATGATGGACTTGTGAGGGTTTTAAAAGATGCAGTGAATAAATGGGGAACTGCTATTCTTGGTGGGAAAGACATTCACATGAGATGTGCAGCCCACATCGTAAACTTAGTTGTTGGTGAGGGTACTAAAGAGAAAGAGATGAATAAATCTGTGACTGCAATTAGGGCTGCAGTTAAATATATTAGGCAAAGTCTTATGAGGTTAAAGAGATTTAAGGAGGCTTGTGAGTGGGCAGAAATTGAATCTAAAAAGTTATTGTGTTTGGATGTCCCAACAAGGTGGAATTCACTTTATTTAATGTTGGACACTGCTAAGAAGTTTGAGGAAGCTTTTGAGAGGTTAGTCTTATTTTATTTTATTTATATTTTTTTGTTTTAAATAGTTTTTAGTTAAAAATCTTAATTATTTATTTAATGGTTGCATTTTTTTTTAAGATATGCAAGACAAGACCCACACATGAAGAATGATTTGAATGATGGTCCCAATGCTCCTGGATTTCCTTCTTGCATAGATTGGGAAAATGTAAGAAGATTAATCAAATTTCTACATCATTTCTATGAGTTGACGGGAAAGGTTTCTGGAACCTTGTATACTACTAGTAATTTATATCTTCCCGAACTTAGTGAGGTAACATATTTTCTTTTATAAGTTATATTTTATTTTAATTAAATTATAAGTTATCTTGTTGAATTATTTTAGTTGTAGGTTGATCATATACTTACAAAATGGGAACGGGATGTGGATCTTTATGAACTTGCTGGTAAAATGAGAACAAAGTATACAAAATATTGGGGGGATCCAAGGGAGATGAACAAAAACATCTTCTCAGTAGTGGTGTTGGATCCAAGGTATAAGATGGATTATTTGGAGTATTTAATGTTGAAGATGTATGGCCGTAAATCTGATGGTCAACTTGATGATAATGGGCCTCTTTATGTTGCCATGGTCAAACGTGAGATGGGAATATTGTTTGAAGAATACAAAAGGTTGAGTTCCTCTACTGTGAAATCAAGTGACCCTCAATCATTTGATGAACAAGGAAGCAGCTCTATCTCTGCAACCAATATGCAAAGTGTGGCAGATCCGAAAAATAGAGTGCAAACATCTGAAGTGAGGTCTGATTACAAGAAATTTAAAGCTGTCAATGGTAGAAGGGCAAAAAAAAAACAGAGTTGGAGAAGTACTTGGCAGAAGATCTTGAGGATGAGAACAAAAATATTGATGTTCTTCAGTGGTGGAAGATGAATGAGCATAGATTTCCAGTGTTAGCAACCATGGCAAGAGATGTCTTAGCAGTTCCAATATCTATTGTTACTTCTGAATTAGCATTCAGTACTGGAGGTCGAGTCCTTGATGCTTTTCAATCGTCATTGACACCAAGAATGGCACAAGCTCTCATTTGTGCACAAGATTGGTTGAGAGATAAGGCTGTTTCTAATATAGAGGAGGAGGATTTGGACACACTGGACAATTTAGAGAAAGGTAATATGTTGTATGTTACATGTTTCTTTTAAATTCAATTATTTATTTACTTATGCAATTGAAAAAAGTTTAACCATGAATTTTTTTTTTTTAAATGTTTGTATAGAGTTTGATAAGATTCATTTGGATTCCACCATTCTTGAATGAATGGTGGATTTATAAATGGTAAGGTACAAGGTAAAATTTTAAATAATTTTAAATTATGCTAACTTAATATTGAGGTAAGTTTTTTTAGTTATTTCTTTTGTTTATTTATAATTTCTACTAACTAATTTTTATTTTTGCTAATTGTCGTAGATACAAGTGTACACGCGTTTTTTTTTAGCTTAAAAGCAAATTATGTTGTGGGTTGTGGCCTGCATTGTCTATAACACGTTTTTTTGTTATGTGGTATTGGGCCTATTGGCTAGACAAGTTTTTTTTTGGAAAAATAGGTTTTTTTTTTTATAGGCAGGTTTCTTTTGGACAAAGATTTTCTTTTGAACGTCTTTTGGACAGTTTTGAAGTATTGAGAGATGGCAATTGGACTGAACATGCAACTTGTGTTAAGAAAGAATGGTAATTTTCTGAATTTAAGTCACTTGGTAGTTGGTATCAATAGTTGACTAGTTTAACTAATATTTATGTTACAATTTAAGCTTGTTACTTTGTTATTATAATTTGTCTTAGTGTTTGAACAGAAAAGTTTGTATTTTAGTAATATCTTGAGATAATGTGATGCAATATAGGTATTTGATGAAATATATTATATTTTAATTCCAATTAGTATTCTGTTATTGGTTTCTTTTTTTCCAATTGATTTTACTTATTTAATGTAGTTGCTATGTTATGCAGTTTAAAGAACTTTTATTAACTTGACAGAGACCATGAGCTACTTATGTCAAGCTGAAAATGCTTGCCGAGTATTAAAAAATCCTTGAGAGTACCCAATTAAGCCCATGAGTTGTTAATTTGATGGATAGACCTAGACTTAATGTGTGAATTGTCAATGAGCACCTGCTCAATTCATTTGTGCCATATGTGTTAAAAAGAATATGTTTATTCGATGGAATAGTTTGAGGTGTTGTCATATTGTTTTTTCTAGTTATGCCACCTTGAACTTGCTGTGGTTATTGTGTCACGACTTAGATATAACCTATTAACCTCTATTTAGTATTCTGGTTTTTTGTAGGCTCTTGGACCATTATGAAATGTTGATTTTCTGATGTTATTTTCCTTGTTGACAATTGAAAGATATTTTATTTTTGGGTTTTTTACAAATGAAGATGTTTCAACATGAATTGTGACGATTGGCATTTTGTTGCTTGCACTATTGCATGATTATTGTAAAATATCATCTTATTTGTTATATTGTTGTATACTTTTTACTTAGTAGATGTTCTATTTTCATAAGCTCTCAACTTTGCATTTAAAGGTTACTTCTAAAGCTATTTTGGACGCTCAAAAGAGAGAGATGGTTGTGTGAAGTGGTTTGCTGGAAATGTGGCTTCAAGGAGTGCTGCTAGGGCAACTACATCGTTGTTGCTATATCATTTAGATTATGCACGTACCAGGCTTGGCACTAATGTAATACAATGCTCAATTAATGGCCAATGACAATTCAAAGGGCTTTTGGATGTCACCATTGTTTCTGGGTGTGTGCTTTTCCCTTTGAGTCTTTGACACAGTTTGATGGTGAATGATTTTGTCTATTTTTTTGGCTTATGAAGTGTAATAGTTTATTAACTTTGTTACGTTGGATATTTAGTTAAAATATCCAATTCATAAAATTAAAGGAAATGAATCATAGCATATGTTAGATATTTCATATTTGGGTTGAGTCACAAATCGTAAGGCCCAATTTTTTTTTTTTTAAAAAAAAGCTAAGGGATTAAGGTTAAAATTGGTTAAAACTGAAATCGATGTTAACCGAACTGATTAATTTAGTAACCAAATTGAAGAATCGAAATATTAATTGGTTCGATTTTTTATTGTTATTTTATAAAATAATCAACCGATTAAAACCATTAATTCAAGTTTGGTTTCAACCAAACCGAACCGTTACCCACCCCTTATTGGTGGGATAGAGAAGGTTTGATTGTCAGAATTCTGTATTCCCTCCAAAGAAAGGCATAATAATTGGAAGAGTAGTGCTACAGACACTCACCTCCTGTACTCTCCGGCCAACACTTCCACTTTCATTGGGCCCTCTTAATCAAAATAACGTGGCCCAATAAAAATGGAAGTGTTGGTCGGAGAGTGTAGGAAGCGAGTGCCCCTAGCACTGTCCTAATTGGAAATGTCTTGAAGCTACGAACGCGCAATCAGACATTTCCCCAAACTTTCAAAGTCAAAATATACTTTGTCTTTGCCGCGTAATGCCGGTGTGCCACGTGTCTTTTGTCAGAGATTTCGTTAACAAAATTAACAGTAGCGGGGTGAAAAGACTAATAAATGAGACTGAGTTTGAAATGTAGGATCAATGAGATGACATAAATTTCCACTAACCAAATGAAAAAACTTAATAAAAGAATAATAATAAATGAAATTAAAATTTAAGATTAAAATATAAAATTAATGATGTAATATAAATT